GGGGCAAAACTCACTTAAATGTCTCTCTTAGCAACAGAAATCTTGGGCTCAATTGTGGTGGTAAGTTGAGCACTTACCTGTACTTGACTGCTTGTTATTTTATAGTTGATGGCTGATTCTAAAAGGCTAACTCTTTCATATTTTCATTGTCAATTCTGAGGCCAGTTGTCAAATATTTGGTCTTCTTTATATTTAATCTTAGTCCAGATAACCTTCTAAATCTAAATTGATACTTTGCTTTTAAAACCATCATTTTAACCTAGTGATTTACACTTCAGAAAAAAGTCATAAACTTATTTAATCCAAGAATCTATTTTATCATCCCTGCCATTAATATATTGAAAAAATAAAATTCTTCAGGATTAAGTATAAAATATTAATGTTAATTATTTTTTGTTATTGTCAATGTTAACTGTCTTTTTTTAATCTTTTCATTAGGGCGATTCAGGAGGTCCTTTAACATGTGTTACCAATGGAACTTACTATATTTATGGAATTGTGAGCTGGGGAGATCAGTGTGGATTAAAAAATAAACCAGGAGTTTATACACGGGTGACAAGATTTCTCAACTGGATTAGAACAAAAATTAAACACGAGTCTAATTTTCACAACTAAGAATGGTAGTCATGAAGGTGGGAAAAATGGTAGTTCAAGTAATTCATCCTTTGAAAAATTTCATCCTTTTCTCTCTTCTATTTCAGCATTTAAGTATTTTGACCCAAATTTCTATCCAGAAATGTAAATTCTAATACCTTAACAGTATTTTGGCTAGAATTCACTTGCTTACAGTATATAATGGCCAAGTAATTGTGCAATCCTTTGTTTAAAATAATGTACAAAATTTATCTTTTTTTGTTATTATATTTTTATCATTTGAAATATTAAGGCTATAAAACACAATCATAACCTTCATAATTAAAACTAGTTGCATTGAGAATTGTTTGCCCAGAAGACCCCAGTCTGTTTAATGGGGAAGTTCACATTTATATTCAGAAACCAGGAGGTATGCTGTCTATTTGGACAGCATAGTTCCTGGTTTCTGAATCTACATTCTAAGTTCCCCATTAAACAGACTGAGGTGTTCTGGGCAAACAATTCTCAATGTTATATGAATTCATATATCATTTGACTCAGAAGAACCTATTTACTGTATATTTGCTTGCAATTCCCCAGAATTTCCTTTTCATTCATTTCTACAAACATTGATTGGATGGCAATAAACCTCCAATATCTTCAGGCCAGCTGAAGATCAAGTGATATGTTATGCTTTTATGTAGTGAACATCTTACAGTAAAGGAAGATATGGAATCTTGTTTTAAACAGACTTCTGCACAGATGGGAGATTAAACTTTTCCTCTAGCCACTGCATTTCTAATCTTTTCTATCCTTTACTCAGGATTTTTTTTTTAATAAAAAGGAGGCAAGAGTGCCCACTGACATGAATTAATTTAGCCACATAGGAATTCAAAAAATGTACATCATTAACAAATCAACAAAATAACTGTATACTTTTTGGAAAGTGATTCCACTAATTTATTTTCAGTACAAATATATATATTTTTACTTTCAGCAAATCATGATTCATATATTTTTAGTACAAAGCTGAGCCTGCCAGTCATCTAGTACTAATCTAATTTGCTGTCATAAATACTACATTGTATAATACATAGCTTAAAAAAATCAGGTGTTTCATGCAAAATATAAAGTTTAATATTAAACCACTCCTCTAGGGTTATAAAGGTCTTTTTTTGTAATAACTATTTCTGAACGGTGCATTACTCTCTTTCTCAGGAGATTAGAATAGCTACATGATTTGGAGAGCAAGCTAAAAAATATATGCATTTTAATTAGACAGATGTCAGTGTTTCTGCTCATTTCTTAATTAGTTTCATTTTTCTTCTCTTCATTTGCAGAACCTCTGCTGCATCAGGATTCAATTGGACTTGTTGGGCTCCTTCTGTTATTTTCTCCTGCAATTACAATAGATTCAGAATGTTATCTCCTCACAAAGGCTATTGTGTCATTCCATTTTTAACAATTATGCCAAACAATATATCATATTCTAAGTAGAAGAAATAATATCCCAAAGTTGCCTTTCTAGGTTGGGTACTTTGGCTGTATAAAACTGCTTACAATAGATTTATAGGTTGGTTATTTCTTCCAATGATAACCCACAGATCTTCATGATTGCAATAAAATTTTCAAGTAGTGGTTTAGATCCAAATCAGCTGAAATGCTGAGATATTCACAGACCTATGGTATATGTTCAGCTGTTGTTGTTTTTTCAATTATAGTTTGGGGGATGACCCAGATGCATATTGGAATAAGACTTGGTCCCAACACATCTGTGCTACTCAAATATGATTACCTGGATCAGAATATTTCACCATAACTCTACCTAAAGCTCATGCAACTAATTCCACTTTTGCTGGAATAAAAGGAACTGTATTCCATGGCCATTCATCTTCCTATTGTGGCTCTGTAGTAGAGGCTGGACTATCCAATACAATATTTAGTGTGCCTGATTTCTAAAATTTATAACAAATGTTCAGCTGAAAAATTAACATGGTAAAAGCTAGCAAATTAGTATTTTTTTTCCCCTCACTCATGCTTAGGCTACCCATTCATTCACTTACATAATCTCTATCATACTGATCCTGAGTTTCTTGCGTTTCTGTTTCCTGGGCATTTGCCAGCTCTGCAGCCCTTCTGGCCATTTCCACTCTGTAAGAACCTGGAGGAGTCCAGCCAATACCCTTGATCCAATTCAAATCAGATTTGTATTTGACCTAGAAAACAAAATACAGTACTAACTGCATGTATCTTCCATGACTACAATACTTAAATCAAATGAAGCAAAACATATATATACTAAAGGCCTAGAAAAGAATATGGTGACCCCAGGAAGCAGTAGCTGATAGGCAAGGACAGATGAAGGAGTAACACAAACTATTCTGTGGTGCCTTAGTTGTTCTCCTAAATTAGGTGTTACGGAGTCCTCCCATCTTAGAATTTTAAGATAAAATTGGTCTTATATACAGAATAGGAAGACAGATCTTTCTTTGCCTCGGCCACTGAAAACACTTGAGTTTCTTCTCATAGCAAACATGATTTGTTTATTAACAAAAGACCATACACACACATTATATAATACAAGAAAATAGTTGCCAAGCCAGAAGAAATCGGCAGTACATTGGCAAGACGCAAAATGTCAACATTTATTACAGTCTTTTCTTTTTCCTCCCTTTTCCAGACAGAAAAAGGGTTATTGTTGAAAATAAATATTGGAAATGTGAAGCAGTGACTAGATCTACCAGAAATCCGAATAACAGTGGAATATCTTTACATATTTTTGTAGCTCTTCACTTGCAACAACAGCAACTTACAGATGCATGCAGGAATTGGATTTATTTGGAGAAGCCTTCTCTCCTTTCCTCATGGACTGGTGAAAATAATTTTTTGATTAGGAGTACTATTTTTTTTCCTAACATGCATTAGCATTCTCTCTCTCTCTCTCTCTCTCTCTCCTCTTCACAAGTCAGCTATTCCCACAATCTTCTTTCCTCTAAACTGCCCACATGAGCATGACATCACACCACTGTGGAAAACTCTCCCAGTGGCTGCACCTTTTAATGAATTTCTTATCCTAAACCTGATTTATTGGGCATTATAATGGCACAATATTATGGAAAAGACCTATTGACTTTTAAAGTCTAATCTGTTTCCTTAATATGTACATTAAGTTTGGATCTGAAAATGAGTATGTTGAGTAGACATATCCTTGCCTAGAATTGGGCTCTTAGCCATAGATCCTAACATACTTACATCACTTTGGAGTTTGTAGGCTTGTTTGGCATGCCTGAGATTCAGCTGCTCTGGGTCACAAGTATATTGATGCAGGCGCTGCCTGTAGTTGACATCACTTATTAATTGCTGACTTTTCTTTGCATGGATAAATCCTGGCTGATCAGTTTGACTTCTGAATTGCGCTCTGTTTATAAAATAATCCCTTTTATATTGGTTGTCACTCTGGAGGTGGCCCATTTTCAGGAAATGTCTCATTTTAGGATCATCACGTGCATTGCAAAATCCAATCCGTTGACCTCTATCCCTTAGGAAAGCTTCTTTGTATTTGAACTAGAGAACATTGAGACAGAGGAATCTTTAGTTCATTACACAATCATATGGAAGCATACTTTCACATAATTTCATATTATGCCATTTTACATGTACGTGCTGTAGCCTATAACTACATAAATATTAAAATCCTGGTACGGCATACTAACTGTTTTTAGATTGGGAACATTTCATTATAGTTGAAGAATATATGTAGAAAACATATATTCAAAGCAACAATTACACATATAGGACAATTTAAAATAAAATTCTAGGGTGAGCTCTTCATCAGAACATCCAGAGTGCTGGCAGCACATACTGTATAGGCACAGCAGGAATACGCAATCATTTTCAGCAAGGAACCAGTTTCTGACTTTGTACTCTAAACAAGTTATACAGCTAATTATGTTACAGTGCCATGCAAATACCACCCAAATTTTAGGAACAGTTAAAGGAGAAAATGAAATCAAGTTTTGATTTTTAAAACTCTTCGCAAATTCATTAAATAGAACAAAATGTGCCAAAATTATTGCCCTTGCCTTTGACAAGAAGAGCACATGTACCCTAATGTCATATCTCTGGACAACAGCAAGAAGAGTTAATTTCTCCCTGAAATTCCTGTTTTCTCAGTTTCTCAGTGTTTTTCAGTTGATTAAGTGAATGACTGAATGATAGACTGAATAAATACATACATTTATAAATAAATACATTTAAACTAATGGGAAATAAAACACAGGCCCAACTGATATAGATGAAGTATGATTGAGACAGTTACTTTCTGGGCCAGATGGAAACTTGTATTTTTCTCCATTGCACTTTTGTTCTCTGGCAATGTGAAGTCTGACAGAGTTGGAATAATAGTATTTGGTCAAATAAGCTCCATGGAATAAAAAGATGTTAATTATTTCCACAGTATATTGATCATAGTTTTTTTCATATGCAGTTCAATAGGAATGTTAGTGAATTCTAATATATGGAACTGTTCTTATTGTGGGATTCTTATGGCATTGAAAACAGGTTCTTTCCTTGAAACTGCATGGGGAAAAAATCATGGAAGAGATGTTAGGTCATAAAGGCCTTTAAATGCCACAAAAAGTACAGCTTGGAATGTTTCATACATCACTGGCAATTTCTCTAGATGCTTTAGCTGTCTGGAAAGGGATGGCATCCAATCTGAAATCATAGCCAGCTGCCCGTGTTTCCTCCCAAGATGTTTTATATAGTTTCTGCATTGAAAAATGAAAAAGCAAAGGGGAAAAATAAATTAATCTTATTTACATATCTGCTGTGGCTTTATTAATTAAAATTTGATTATATTACAATTATTTATTTATGACTCAAAAGTTAGCATGCATCCCTTCAGTGTTTCACATACAAAATACAATGTCCTATTTGGAAAGAGTCACAAACGTCATAATTAAAGTTTGCTTTGATGCATTAGACACATCAATATTGCATTGACATTGCCCCTATTCTGTCTTTTGAAACATTTAGCAGTA